AATGGGGTTTGCTCACCCGCGCCGCCCCCTCACACAGCTGCTCTTTTATTTTAGTTTTTTGCACAGTAGATAGAGCTAACTGAATTAACTTATTCTGTTTCGCCATTATAAATTCCACAGCATTCTTTATTTGCATATTAAAAAGTAAATAAATGCCAAGCACGAGAAGAGCAGACGAGGATGAAGAACTAGAGTATGTTTTAGTGCTGGCTGGGTTAGTTTTTAGTTGAGTTGGTCATATACCTGATTGTTCGAGTAAACATATATGGAGTGTAGTGTAGTGCAGTGTAATATAATGCAATCAAGTCTAATTGAGCGACAGTTGAGGGCCCTGGTATTTGGAGCACTACAATGAAGCTAATTTACTGTCAATAATTTGTGGGTTAGCAGGTGACAGATGGCAATGCATTTACTAATGCAAGAGTACTTGTAGAGAAAGAGCGAAAGAAAGCACGATCATTTATCGCCTTTGGGGGCAATTTCGTATAATGATCGAAAATAAACAATATTTTCCAGCTCGTAATTTGCCCAAATCTTCACCGACAATTTGCTTCCTTGCGGAAAACGAGCCAAAGAAGAAGAAAGAAGCCTGGGACCTCGACTTATATCGAGATTTATTTGCACAATTCCGGTTTTGGGCTTTGTGCTTCCCTCTCTCTCTATCTTATTTTTTTTTATATTTCAATTTTTACTACCACTATTGGCTATGTGGCTTCTTCTTCTCCTTCCTCTTGTTCGCAGGGACAGATCCTCAATAGGTGTGAGTTGGTGTTGTCCTTCTCCAATAACCAAAGGGAAATCAAAGACAGAGCAGGATGGAAACAATACTATACAAAGACAGCTGTTCCGTTCCCCAAATTGAAGAACTTTTGACACTGAACCAAAGAGTTTCAAACTCAAGTGGCGCCCACAGTGAGACCTCAATTAAGACGAATCTTTCGGATTATGTTGTCCATTGACACTGACACAGTGACACGCCAAAAAATCAATAATAATCTTTAAGGCAAATTGCAATTATATGTGGGCTAGTTGGCTGCTTATTATTATTAACGATGTTTCCGCCTCTTCCACAATTCGTTTCGCACAATTATCGCCGTTTCGTTTTCGTTGGCCTAATCACACTGGATTTGTTTAGCATTTCCAATTACCGATTGTTGTAGCAACTAAAGGCAGTTAAAATATTATAAGCGTTGCCCGCAACAACAAAAGCACACACACAGGGCAACGCGACGCGCGCAGCTGAGCGAAGTTTGTTTTGTGTTTCCACGGATGTGTTTTATCCACGTCCACCCGCGTCGAAATCGAAGCGACTGAACTTAAGCGCGTTTGGAAGGCAACTGAAAAGCCTGAAAAAAAGCGAGCGCCAAAGCAGCGAAGACGGTGGAGCAAGAAGAAGGTACAAGAAGAAGCGGCCAAGAGAGAGAGAGAGAGGGAGCCGCGTGAGAGACTAAGAGAGAGAGACTACGTAAGACTAGATACTCAGGTGAAAAGACACCGGCGCACAGTGGGACGGATTGACTTTTTTGCTATGACCAAAATTGTATTTAGAACAGGAAGGAAAATAATTTGGTACAAATAATTAGGACAACATGCGTTTCTTAGTTAATACTTAGATTTTAAAACTTGCTTTCCTCCACCTCTATTTTTGACCACTAAATTTATGAGTTCTGTCCCACGGTGCGAGTCTTACTACATCTCGTAAAGTCGCTTACGTATGGTACTCGTTAGACCCCAAGACGTAAAAAAAACTTGGGGCAGGTTGCGAGCGTGGTGAGTTTGGCGTGTTTGTAATTTGTTAACCGTGTGTGAGTGTGGTCAGGTAAGTGTCTGCAACATTGTTGTACTTGGTGTTTGTCTCTCTAATTGAACATGCACTACAAAAATTTTTTTGAAAACCTAAGAAAAACATTTATGTTTTCCAAATGGAAATATAATGACCGCTAAGAGCGTCCATTTCAATTTTAAAATTCGCAAGTAACACAAATTTCTTTAAGATCTTAGATTCGTTTTGGTAAAATGTTTAAAACTATTCCTTTCTTTTTTTTTAAGTTTACTATTTTTGTTTATTTTTTTTTCAGGAAATGTTTTTAAATTCTTTGTTGGTATAATAAAAAATGCTCTCTTAAAGTATGATAGAATGTGTTCTTATTCCTAGTTCAGTCCAAATTTTTGCGCGCAGTGTTCGCTGCAACCTGCAAGTGCTCCCCATGCGAGGGCCTAAAAATAGCTTGGCGGGCAGCGCGTGTGCCACAATTTGGCCTTATCGTTGATGGAGCGTTAGCCTATCATTAGCCGGACTTTATGCCACGGCTGCGGCTCTCCCGCTGCTCGATGGGCGCATACTTTTCGCGGTGGGTGTGTGGTTGCTAGGTTGCCATTATGGGCAATGAATTTTGGGTGCAGGCAGCTGATTTACAAGTGCCAATGGAAGGGAATGCAGTGTTGGCGGCGGTCGACTAATGGGCGCACATTCGATATGCTACTTAATTGCAAATCGCTTATTGCAAATGCCGATGGTTATGGCAGGCAATTCAAACAGTAAATAGCTCGGCTAATTATTTATGAAAATATTCTACACTAGATAATGCCTTTTTCAACGCAATTAACTTTATACATAATACATACATTGGGTGCACTTATATAAAAAAAGTTCACATTATTTGAAAAGGAATCACTCCTTTTAAATTATTATCTAAAAACGCTGCGATAGTGATGGTTATCCAACATAACTTGGGTCTTTCGTTTGCAACCAAAAATATAACTCAACACTAGGTTTTCCCAGATACCATTAAAAACGTCACTCGCTTAGACAATTGTCTCCATTTACAAACACCGATTCAAGCTTAAAAAGTGAGTAACCACCATAAAAACAGTACAAGAACTGATAATATAGTTGTATCTGCCCGAAAAAGAAACACAACAATTGCCTTGAAAACAAACCAAAGACAGCATCCGGAGATCGAGGAAAGGGGGACTACTCGAAACTGAGTCATCCTCAGATCGTCGCAATGTTTTTGATGTGTTCATTTGTTTTTTTTCCCCCTAGCTGCGATAAATAAAACTAAATGTCTCTTATAATGTAATTTGGGTACTTTCAGCACGGGCTTTTGTTTTGGTTTCCACGCATCAATGCCATTTGCTATTTTTGGTTAGCGACTCATTTGGGTTCAGAGGTGAGAATTTTGCTTTTCTAGGGAATCTCCGTAAGTATTTTTTATGGCGAGTTGAACGGACTCTCGATTTTTAATGTTCGGCGACGCTTTTTATGGCCACATTTGGCGGCACAAAGTCAACAATTGCTTTAATGTATTTTGCACATAAGAAGCAAAACGAATAAACAAATATTTGCAATCGAAATTTGTCCCCTCTTCTTCGCTTGAAAATATATTTACAGTTATCGCGCTGGCAGCGTCTTCGTTCCCCTCTTGATTTGACTTTATGTTCATGTTAATTGCATTATGACCCATTTAGCCGAGAGTTGTTCTCATTCCCCGTTGGCCCTTGTTGGTGTTCAACTGTGCTGTTATTTTGTTGGCCATCAAACTGGAGCGCGACTCTGTATCCGCCATCCAAATCCCGGGAAGGAAGCCCCAAAGTCGCCGACTGAATGTAATTAAGATAAAATTTGTGTGCTCATGTTTTTATTCTCTTTGCTGTTCCGCATTTTGTTCTGACATCGCTGCGCTTTGTTGTATTTGCATTTACACTCGTTTGAAGGGTTTACAAGGGTATATAAGGTCTTGGCTACTACTTATTGTTGTAAGCGTCAATAAAAATATACCAATTGGGCTGCAGTTTAAATTATATATATTTTATATATATATCATTCACTTTAAATAAAAATTTATTAATTTATAAAGAAAACGGTTTGTAGAACATAGGGTTTGTGAAGTGATAGTTATCAGCCATTTAAATAAAAGAGCTTCAGTTGGGAATCAGAAGTATATATTAAACTAGAGAAAGGCTTTTAATTTTATATTATTCCTGACGTAGTAATGCTCTCAAACCGAACTTATTTATGTGCTGGCCCTAAAACTTTTGCTACATGAAAAATATAACAACTTTAAAGTTTTTAACAATTTCCAAACTATAGGTCATCGAAAAGTCGACTTCTAAACCACGGGGTTCTTATTGTTTGTGATTTTTCTTATTTTCAGAATACAAGAGAGCCTGCGAACCGCGGCTGAGTCACAGAACCCCGTCCCCTCCACTGCCTCAACCACTTGAGGGCTGTCACTCAAGACCGAATCTGGCTGGCGATGCCGGAGGTGATAACTGCACCACTGCACCACTGCTTCACCGCACCACCACGCTCAATTGGGTGTGGGTGCGCACCTCGGCTCGGCTCAGCTCGACTCGCCCTGCCTTGCCCTTTGTCATTCCAGGTATTTAAATCGAAGGCCCAGCTGCAGGTAAGCGATACGGGGCGGTGAGTGTCAAAAGTTCTGCGATAAGTGAAAGGCACCAGGGGGACTAGGGCTACGACTTTATCAATATATCTGCCGATAAGTGAGGTCGCTTGGATAAACAAATTTGAGGCTATGAGGAAGCTACAATAAATTCCAGGAGAGAGTTTGAGTGGCTACTAAATAAGTTACCTATGATAATAGTTTGAATTTAAGTGAATCTTTACTCAAATAATCCATACATCTTTTAAAGAGTTCTTGCACATTTAAAACTAAATTTTAGACTCACGCTTATTAAAACTTTCCCCTTTAAAATTAATTATAAACAACGCATTTGTTAGTCATCTATAAAGTAAAGCCATTTGATTCTTAGAAGGTCGTGAAGAAATCTAAGTGAAAGACATACCAACAGGCGAGCCAATATACTTTGCCGAAAATGTACTCCACCGACTGAGGGTATTTGTATAAATAAACTGAAGCGTGGGCGGCAGTCGATATATCGCAACAAGACGGGCAGGCTGCCAAAACGCTTGCAATCGTCTTTGAAATTAGGGGATTCCAAGGGGGTGGGGGGCTGGATGGGTGGACACTTACCCTGCGCGGCTGCTGTTGTTGTTGTTGTTGTTGTTGTTGTTGTTGTTGTTGATGCTTGGGTTGCTCGTAAAAGCTGCTGCCATTCTCCAACCACTCGACATCGCTGCAAGATCAAGAGAGAAAGATTAACAACCACATGTTGAGCAAATTCACCACACAACAAACAAAAAAGCTCACTCCGAAAGCTTTATCTTCGACATTATTTTCAGGGACCTACATATAAGTTTCATGAGTTTCCCTTATTTTGAGAATTCTTATCAGAATTAAGTGCCAAATTATCGCACCTGAGTTGGTACTTATTTACTAACACCCTTGTAATCTACTAAAAATAAATAAAGCGCAAATAATACTTTTTAGTGGTTTTTCCATTTACTAAAAAACAGCTTCCTTAGCATTATTTAAATGAAGAAGTTGTTAAAGGCATTATCCACTTAAATATTGAGTGGCAAATTTTTGTTCTTAAACAATGAAAACATAAATGAAGGAATACTAAAAAAACAAGCCTCACTGTTAACTTTAAGCAACTTAAATCTCAACTTACCGCTGCATTCTTTGGATGACCGGCAGTTGGGCGGTGCTGTCGTGGATTCGCACCTGGTCGGGGGTGACCTCCTCGAGCAGGAACATGTTCTTGCTGGCCAAAGGAGTCAGCTCAGCCTCCGCAGGATGGGTGTTCCCGTAGAACAGCGGACTGAGGGGGCGGCAGGCCCCGCCCAGCAGCTCGTCGATGTTTTGGTGCCGCGAGATGAAGAGCTTTTCGCCGGCCCGTCGTGTTTGTGGTGAAAAGCGCGGCTGCAGAGGGGTCAGGGTGGCAGGGGGCGTGGACATGAGCGGTGGTGGTGCCTCCTGCACTTGCGACCTTGGAATGTTGTCGTAGGGCGAGGGGCAGCGCACGGGACTGGCGCATTGACCCAGGGGAGGAGGTCGTTCTGAGGAGGCATTAAAGTTGAAAGAGCTGCTCAGCTCTTGAGATGCCAATGGATGTGGTGATGGTGCAGCCAGCCTGAGATCCACTTCATCCCTGGAGTCCTGCTGACTCACTGGCTGCTCCACATCCTCGCCCGCGGGCTGAGCTGAGTCCTCCTGCAGCCACCAGGCCCGCTCCCCGGACTCCCAGTGCCGGATGATTCGCGGTGGTGGAGTGGGTGGCTTCACCGGCGGCGGTTCGTTCTCCTTTTCCTCTTGAGGTGGCTCCTCGGGCTCTTCCTGCCACCATGCTCTTTCGCCGGACTCCACGCGCTGCACATTGAACATCTTGCGGGCGGGTCCGGATAGCCACCAAGGATTGGATCCATTACTCTTGGAGCTGCCTACACTTTTCGAGACACTAGCCTTGGAACTCCGCTGACTGCCGTTCGAGGGTAATTTCAGGGTCACCTCTACATGTGGCTCGCTGTTGTTGTTGACATCGTTCACTTGCTCCTTGGGAGACCCTTCGGCCTGCTCCTCCTCCTCCTCCAGCCACCAGGCATCTTTTTCCGGCGACAGTCTGCTCCTGGGCATCAGCTTCACCTGACTACTGGAGTCCTGCTCCTCCTGGCTCCACCAGGTGCCTTTGCTCGGCTCCTGGGCGGCATCGTCATCTAGCGGATTGAGAGTCTCCTCCGCCAGAGTGTCGTCCTCATCGCCCTGTTCATCCTGGCGCAGCCACCAGGCCTGCTCCTCCCCAGAATCGATGTGCCTCAGCCTGTACGGCGGCATCTCGCCTCGGTTATTCTGATCCAAAGCAGAGGCCGTGTTTATCTGCAAACTGGTGTCCTGCCACCAACTGGGATCGTCCTGCTCGGAGGTGGTCAAGCTGGCAGTCGTGGTGAGACTCGTCTCCTGGGTGGTGCTAATGGTGCTGATGCTGGTGGTGGTGGGCCGTCTAGTCCCTGTTCCCGTGGTGCTCTCCCGCGGACAACGTGTGCTCGAACTCTGGGAATTCGTTGGAGGTGAGGGTTTCGCTTCGCTCGATGGCGTCGTTCGCGGTTCGTTCGTTCGCAAATCTGTATTCAGACTGATCCCAGAGATTTTCGATATGCCCGAGATCACTGGCAGCGAAAGCGCCTCCGGTTCGCCCGAGCTCTCGGAGCTTTCGAGGAAGATCGGCTCGTTATTTGCGTCTTGCTGACGGCTGGCGAAAAAATTCGATACCGCCGATAGCTTCTTCAGTCTTGTCTGTGTCGCTGGCACCACATCGGCCACGGCGGGCGGTGATTCAGTGGTGCTATTTGGCTTGTTGTGGGCGGTAGCACCGGCGACGGCGACCTTGCCAGCTCCTCCCTTCTTTTTGGCTTGCTTTTTCACGGTCTTGACCCGCTGCTCGCTATCCGAAGCGGAGGCGGTGGCCGAGGATGAGTTGCCGGTGGTGCTGGTGGTGGTTTCGCTGCACGATTTGTGGCTCTTTGGCTTCGAACTGCCACCAGACACCTTGCCGTTGCTCAGTTTGTTTGACTTCTTGGATGAGCCAGCTGAAGCCAAGCTACCCTCGGATCCGGCACTGGGTGATCGCTCCAAACTACTACCATTGGGTAGATCCTCGGATTCCCCGCCGCTACTCGGAGTTCGCGACTTTCGAGGCCTGTCCGTGGGTCCCACATTTAGAGACGACTTGCGAAAGTCCTTGTTCGGCCACTTTACCGCCGAACTGCCCGAACTGGAACTGCAGGTCTTGGTGGGTGAGTCCGCCTTGTTGGGTGGTGCCGGTGGCTTGTTCACCAAGTTCTCCACCGAAGATTGCCGTGAGTTCAGGCGTATGGCCTTTGGCGGTGAGAGCTTGGACTTTGTGGACTTCGAAGAGCTCGAAGAGCCATTTGTCCTGGGCGGTGAGACAGCTTCTGGTGACTTTGAAGTGTTCACTGAACCATTACTTCTGGGTGGCGAAAGGAGCTCAGTGGATTTCGCAGAACTCACAGATCCATTTGTTCTTGGCGGCGACAGAGCTTCCGAGGACTTGGCCGAGCTCACCGAACCATTGGTTCTAGCTGGTGACACGGCTTCTGGTATTGACTGAATCGGTTTTCCTTCACCCACTGAACTGGATTTCGCTGATCCTGAACTGTTCAATGGACTGGCGCTGTAACGCAGACTGCTGATCCTATCCCTGTGTGGACTATAGGTCGAGCCTATACTACTGCCTGCACTGTAGCGAAGATATCTGCTGGAATCGTCCAGTCTATCCGACTGAATCTCCTGATCCGTCGTCTCCCGCTTTTTGGTGGATCTTTGGATGGTCTTCTCGATCGTCTTGGCCGGATCAATGCGACGGGTTCGCTGAACGGTGGTGCTGCCCGGTAGGGTTGGCGAAGTGGCTCTAGTGACTACGGAAATGGTGATGAAGGTCTCATTGGTTTCTGTGTCGTCTGCTGGATGTTTTTCCTTCTCCTTCTCGGGAGTCTTGTCCTTGCCATTGGATACCTCGCTGGGCTTCTCCTCGATCTCCAGCTCCAGCTCCTTCTCCTTCTCCCGCTCCCTTTCTCTGCTGGCCTTGGCCCTGCTGGCAGTTCTGGCATGGAAGTCACTGGTGGTCAGGTAGGAAAGGGCACTTCCGTTTCCCGAGATCCGAGAACCCGCTCCATAGCGACTGCTGTATGCGTTTCTCGTGCCCGAAGAGGATGAACTGGAGGTGGTCGTATTACCACCGCGGTATGTGGCTCCCAGTTTACTCCTGGCACTGTCGTTGACGGGACTTGGGTCTCTCGATTTGTTGCGGTTAGTGTGTTCCAGCGCCACTGGACTGGGATCTCGAGATCTCACATATTTGCCAAGCGAACTGGTTGACGTACCCGTATATCTTTTAACTGGACTAGTTCGCTCACTTGGAGCTGCTTCTTTGGGCTCTGTCTTGGCATAGCGACTGACATAGCTCGTAACTGGAGTACTTGTGACTGATGGTGGTGGTGGATCCCTTTTGAGGCGGTACGTTCCTCCAGAAAACGAGGGTCTGTAGGAGCTAGGCGTGGCCAGCGAAGTGTATCGCGATGTGGAATCACCGGAGGTGCCATACTGCGGGTGGTAAAGTTCAATTAGACAAGTGATTAAGTATATATTTTAGGCTACCCACCGAAGAACTGGCAGGCTTGTAGGAACTGCCCAAGCTCGTCTTCCAAGGGGTCTAAAATAAGAAAATAAAAAATATAATCAATAAATCTTAAAGAAAGTATCATGCATGATATACATATACATGACAAAAACTAGTCAACGTTGTCTAGAAAGCCAATTATTAATTAGGGATTAATGTAAAAACTATTAATATATAGATTACAAATTCAAAATTAAATAAATGATAGATCCTATTTATATATATAAAGTCCCCTGTCAGAGAAAGGTCTTTGCTCCCTCATTGGACAAATATTTAACACATATGTTTAACGATGTATACGAATGATTTGGCAAATTTAAATTAAACTCATTCTCTCAGTGAATTCGACCAGTAAATAAAGACTGAATGATTTCTTTATAGCTCATTTCGGTCGGTGGGGTTTGCTGGCAAGATGTGCATGCTCTCATTCAAAAGAAATTGAAACTGATGGGCAATCACATGGCTTTGATTGATTGGCGCTCTAAGAGTCCGAAAGCAATTGACTCCAGCAAAACAAGACGAAAACAAAGTGGCTGCCCCACATTCCGCCCCCTGCAGACTGCAGCACCACCTTTTCCATTTTCCCGGGGAATTTTCTCAATGAGCTGTGCACTCGACAATTATTCGCACGCATTTCATCATCGTCAGCCACAGAGTAGCATCGCATCAGCAGCTACCTCACCACATCGGCCACATCAACATCAACATCAACATTAGCAACGGCATCGGCATCGGATGCCAAGGAATCCCATTGCCCCCCATTTTCCTCGATGGACTATTTGTGGCTGGGATCGGGACTGCTGCCTCTTTGAACTCGCCCAATGCATTTCCCTCTGATTCGGTTTGGGATCTCTGCTGCTGCGTCTATTTCATTTTCAATTAAATGGCGCTGCAGCACGCGTTTTTCAATTAATTTGGACGTGTAAACAGATTCATTTCGATTATTTCAACATCTGCCTTCTAATCTCGGCCGCAGCGCATTAGACGATTGCCCTCGTCCATCGAGACACGTTGAGTTTCCCTCGAATATAATGAAAATTGCGGGGGCCCCGACCACTTTGGCCTTTCTTCATTGAGGAGAGGGGCGGTGGGTTGACAAATTTCACCCAACTATATCTTTGAGGATCAGGCACCCATTTAACATTGCAAAATACGTGTCGTCGGTTTAAAGATTTTTGGCAACACAAACGATTTTTGGCTAATTATTGAAAATTATCTTTTATGAGCAGATGAAATGCTGTTGAAGCATGGTTTTATTTCACTTTTAACACATTTAATTTTGATGTTAACTGATTTGTTTAAGGTTTATCATTTAGTTTCATAAGAAACCCTTAATTAAAAAAAATTACCACAAGCTTTTGACATACTAAATAGTAGAAAACAGGTGAAACAAATAAAACAAATAAAACAAATAATTTATTAATGTCCTATAACTATATTCGGTATCAAAGAGTTTTATACTTTCAAGAACGCTTATAATATGATAAAATCGCTGAAAAACTATTTACCATAAATTGTAAACTATTTCAATTTTCTTAACCTTTAATGAACTCTCACGATTGTGATGGAATTTGGCCCTGAAAATACAGCACAGGAATTTCTCTACTTAAATCACTTGAAATAGGGCCGGTCCCAAGTGGCGCCAATCCCGGCGAATGACAACTATCGGGGGATAAAAAATAATATTATTACATTTTCCAGCGCCCGCCCAATGTGAAGAATGGGCGTGTGAGCGAGAGGGAGCGAGGAAGAAAGACAGACAGTCTCGGCTAATTGTTTTCGCTCAGAGAAATGGAATGCCAAACACACAAATAGCCAACAATGTGCAAAGCAAGCATACGGAGACACTCAGCCGGAGGAGCCAAGATGATCGTGTGGACGGGTCTATGGATCTTCGCTGGAATGGCTTCGCCATGTGTACTTTGTTCGCCGCCGATTCACCGATTCCAGCTGAGTGCCGCACTTCTGACAGCGTTATTATGCGGTCTCAATTAGGAGAGCCCCAGGGATTGGGAACCGGGGATCAGGAGCAGTCAGTGGCCAAGGCCCATAAAGCACCACCAGAAAAAACCATCCACTCACAGAGTATTTGGACTGTGACCCCAGATGAGTCGAAGTGGCGACTGAATATTCGCGTGCCAGACAAATGATTTATTTTTAAATGCTTCTCTAGTTTGCTCTGTCAAATGTGTCGAAACTGCGTTTCACGAAAACTAAAGTGTGTAAAGATCGGCGGTGGTTTAGAGCAGGTAAGGATCTAACACAATTATTATAAAGTTGTGGGTGCAATTACAAATTATAATTTACCACAAACCTAAAACATATTCTAACAAGATCATAAATTTTGCACTACAAAAAATATTATAATTATTAATGCAAAATGAAAAAGAAAATTCATTTCAATTAGCAACTGTTTTATCGTCATATTTTTAAATTTATAAATTGAAAGCAAATCAATTAATTATTCCTTTCCCCAATTAAAAACCATCTTTACTCCTAAACCGATTCTATATATTTAGAGCCAAACAAGTTCATATTTGGAAGGGCCACCAATTCACGAAGATCAACAATTTTACCAAGTTTTCAAAGACCTATCCAACTGCCAAGCTGCTATCCTATGCTGGCTAAGTCTACGTTTTTAACCTTGGCGCCGATCTTGATTGTGTTAGCTGTCCTGGCTTCTTTCTCGATTCGTTTTTGAAGCACTTGCTTCATCAGTGGTTGGCTGTGGATCCGAGCTCGTTACCGGGTCGGATTTCTGGGTCCCGAACTGGCCCAAACCACTGATAAGGCCCAGATGTCGGGTCTCCGGGTCGAATGGATCACAACTTGGAGGCTTTAGCGGACACCTGTCCATCGCATCCCGCATGGCGCGCATCCCCAGCTCGAGGGCGCAGTCCATGGAGCTCCTCTCGGGCGGCTCGAGGGTAAGGGGTCCATTGAAGTGCACATAGATGTCTCCCTGGGCGGTTAGATCCAGTCCGTAGGTGGTCAGATCCTCGCCAAAGACCAGCTGCGTGGCGCCCGGATCCGTGTGCGTCGCTCGCATGGAGGCTAAAAGTCCGACGATGCCAAACCGATCGCCCAGCATGGAAGGCGGAATATTGGTAAATTTTCCATCGGTTGTACTCCGGATGCCCGCCGCTTTCGACGTGGTAGAAGAAGTGGCTGGATCCGATCCCTTGACCACCAATTCGTAAGAGGGTTGGCCGAAAACATCGGCAAACGTGGGCAGCGGCGGCTGGCGATCGTAGAGTTCCGGGAAGAGTTTGTAGTCCGAGTCGACTACGGCATCTCCACTCGAGGTGGAGTCACTTTCCGGCGGCTCTTCACTGGGCGGATCCGGCAGGGGCGGTGGGCGTGGCGGCTCCACCTTTGGACGACTGGAAGAACTTTCCTGATTCTTTTTCCTCAGCGCTAACGAGGGATTCACCTTGCAACGTGGACGACGACGCCGCGTCATTCCTATATTTTTTATACAAATACCTTTTTCCGTGTAAATTTCTGATGTGTCGTTTAAAGGCAGTTGGCGGTGGGGTGGTTATGTGAGAGAACGGGGGTGGTTAATCTCAGACACAGACAACTTTATTTTATTACAAAAAAAACTTGACCTTGAAGCCTATTCCAGAAGCGCCTAGCACCGCCTTCCTTTCTCCTACACACACAAAATTTTGATACGCTTTGATAAGAGATTCAAATAATACCTGATCATCAACGCAAATTAAGAACTTGATAATAACTAACATACATGAGCAATATTTTTCCTAAAAAATACAATTTTTATCATGTATTAATGATCCTTTTCTCTCCTTCTTTTTCTTTTTCTATGTTACCTCCCTCATACTTACTTCCTTGAAAACAAATTGCTTGAATATTCACACTTTGTTAATTAATTATGTGGTGCGTGCTTCGCGGCTCTCACCGAAGAACTTTCAACTTTATGCGTGTCATAAATATTTACAACTTCCTCCTGGCCATAAAAATCCTCAACAAAGTACCAACTCCAACCAGAAGCAGAAGACTGCGTCAACGTGAAAGAAACAGAAATCATTTTGCTTTACTTCCAACATTTTTAGAAACAGTCTAAATATAATTGGAGAAATGACTCGGGGTGAAGTGAAAGAAGTGAAGTGGAAGAAGTGGAGCGGAGGGGCAGAAACTTGTTGTTTGCCACCCATAAATTTATCAGTTTATATATTTAATTGATTAATGCACAATGAGTCAGAAGTCAAGCTAAAGTCATAAACTATATGCTTGGGAACAAAAGGATATAATGAGTTGAACATGAAGGGAATTAGAAGAAAAACGATTAAAAATGTGGAGTGACAACCGAAATGGAGTGGTTGTGTTGGGATTAGAAGCTGGGTATTAAATTGAGGGTATAGTCTTAGAAGGAAACAAAATAGTTTTTTAGTCACACCTCCCTTACCGAGATTAAATAACGTAATGAAACAATAAATAAATCAAAGCATATAATTAAGAGCTGACTATATTCAGCATTAAATCAGTCAAATACTCAAAAATTGTGCATTTGAACATTAATCAAATTAGAAAAGTTCAACAAACAATTCAACCTGCTCTGTCAAAATAAAAGCCATTTATTTACATTTACATTTGTTTGCTATTCAAACACTAAAACATTCGGTCATTCAGCTGCCACACCTCGGCCATAATTTGTATGGATAGAAAATTAGAACAATCAACTAGACAGAAATCCGAACCGAAAACCAGACAACGAACGAGCAAATTTGTATTTGAATTGTTTATCAATGGAACTGGAGCTCACAGATACGCGGGCAAAAGTTTCAGATACATTTTATCTGCCAGTACATGTGTGTATAGGTATCTGCCAAATACTCTCGCATGAGGTAAGGCAACAAATTAGAAATAAACAAAATTCGTGGATGCGAAGAATTGCAAAAAGATACAGAGCACAGATACACAGATCGAGATACACACTATATAGTACGGGTACGTAGATACAGATACGGATAGTTGGCGCTGCATTAACTAGCACTTACATAACTGCGGTAGGACGACATTACGTTGCTTTTGGCAGGCGATCCTCGATCGTTCCGATCAAAATTTGTTCGCAATATGTTGTGCCCGCTTCAGAATTGTATAATTTATTTTGGGCCTGGCTGGTAATCCAATCTGGCGGACACTCGCGCGATCGAAACGGAGCAACTCGAACCACTGACGACAATTACGAAAACGTATCTGGCGGATGCACTCGGCGAACGCCTCTCAATTGCAATAGATGCAAAATAAATTAGATGCACTTACTGAAATCGCGCGCGTGCTACAAATTTCTAGCGATCTTCCACGACACTCTCTGTATTCTATTTTATTTTTTATTTTATTTTATTTTCATTTCATTTATTCCTTCGGTAAACTTTCATTCCGTTTCCTTTGTTTTTTTCGCGCTCGACGATATAGCGAGATAATGGTATGGGGTTCGGCCGTGTGCCACTTTACATAATCCACCGGCACGCACCGGCCAGGTTGGGGATATATACTCGCACCGAAGTGCCAACGGGCATACAACCAGCTATAGGCTATAGCGCCCCGATCTATTTGGGAATGCAGCCGGCAAATGCGACAGAATCGGACGCGAACGCCACGCTTTATTTATGCGTTGATATTTTTCTTATTTTCCTATTTTCCCATTTTCCATCTCCGTTTTCCCTGCTCACGACGACGACGACGACGGCGAACGCATCACTTTTGCTTTTATTTCAATTTACTTTGGGAGCAGCACAACTTAAGCTGTTATTTATAAATTTAGCAACATTCACACACTCGCTGAAAGATTTTTGTCGCATGCAAACGCGATTTTGTTTTTGAGTTCTCGATTTTGTTGGCCCACTGCAAATCGAATTGAATCGGGCCGAGATTTAAAGCGTGTGCGACTCGGCGTGTTGTCAAAGGAAAACTGTCTGGTCGCTGTGAAAATATTTTCGTGCCGAGATTTTCTTTTGGCTGCTCGCAGCGAATTGCGTGAAAAGCTGAGCAGAGGAAAGTCTCCGCCTCTCTTGCTTCGGGTGTGCGTGTATTTTCGGCAAGCGAGAGAATCGGAGAAGAAGCTCTCGGAGATTCTTCCGGCTCTCCTCCGTCGACGATCGCAGCGTTTGTAAATTGCAATAGAGAATAAAATAAAAGTTATTAATATACTCTAAAAGGGGGGTATAATTGTTAGGATAATTTCCTTAAAATCAAGTAAAATCACCCTTATTTTTCATCGACAAATTCTTTAATCGGACAGCTTTAAACATTATAAAACGAAACTATACTTCCTGATATTTACGAAAATAATCAAAAAACTTAAATAGGCTTAAACTAAGCTTATGTTATCCAATTAATATTGTCAATATAACTCAACTTAAAAAGAAAAATGCTGTCTTATGGTTTTGAAGAAATACAACTAATTCTGAACATATTTTAAAAAAAACCAATAAAAAGTGATAAATTTTGGGCTTCATCATTTATTTGAAATGTAAGTTAACTTTATTTTTAAGAAAATGTAAAAGCAACTTCCAATTTAGTTAGCATATCCTATGTATTGATACAAGTTTTTAAATAAATTGACATATATTTAATGCAATGACAGAAAATTTAGTTACTTCAACCAAACAAAGGAATTTAACTTATAACAAAGAGCATTTAAAGCTTCGGCCCGTCATCGAATTATCTTTTCCTATGTGTACATCTGCTCCGCATATATCTGACAGAAATCGGCCAACAGACTATATGTGCCAGCTTCTTGATTTCAACTACCACAGTGTAGGGAAATGCGTAAAAATTCTTGTAATGCTCATAAAATGCAACTCAAAAGTATTTTACATCTATTTGGGACTGCTTCATTCCATCCCAGCTATTTTCGTCTATTATTGGTCGAATAATTTAATTTAAATATTTTTGGCATCGGTGACTAATCGATGAGTGGGCGCTGGGTTGGGAGGCCGGGAACATGTTTTGGGGTGTCCAGAAAAAGACATAAAAAAGTATGTATGTTGCAAACGATAATTGTCATCTACAGATACAGATGCAGTCTGTCATGTTCCCATGAATGAAAGACAGCGAAAGGCAGGCCAACAATTGACGGGGGTCTACAACCTGAACCTGATGAGGTGTCCCCTCGGATTATAATCTGTCTAGGAGGAAAAACGAATATTACACTTTTCTCAGCTTAACATATTCCTGAGACTTATGTGCTAATTAGATATCACATACACATAGGGCTTGAAAAATTAAAATAAAATGTTCTCTAAAATCATATGGATTGGTGAAGACTAAAAATTGTTACTGTTTACGAATTGTTATTTGATTATTTATAAAGGATTAATATTGAAATTGTCTTCAAAATATGTTAAATGATTTTTGAAGCTTCATAAAATAATTATAATTGTATGTGGTATTTATCTAAAAATTATGAAATCTTTTTCCATTTTGAAATAAACAATTGTTAAAACATTTAGTCGCTTTTACTTAAATACCCTAGCCCTGTATTTTTCTTATTGCATAATTTTCATTCAATTTCATCTGTTTTGACTCCCCTAATAGGATGGATTCCCCTTACTTCCTTACTTACCCTCTGCCCCCGGGCATTATTCGGTTCATTTGTGTATCACAGAATACCCCGAGAAAACTATTACAGATATCATGCAGAAGACGACGACACATATCGCATATTTGTTCTGGTTTTAAAAATAAAAACTGTGTGCTACTTTTGCAGTTGCCACTGCTGCCGGCAGTCACCGGAAACGAGCGGCTAAAAAGATGACGTCTAAACACGAAATAAAACTGGCATTCGTTGGCTCTAGTAGAAACATTTAAACTAAATATGCGCAAAATGTCAAAAACCATTCATGTGAAATAGAATGCCTGCGTTGCCTGTGCCATAAATCAGACAAAGATGCTAAATTACCTCTGAGCAAAAGGGAGGAAAAGCCAAAGGCAACGGCATCAATGGGCTAATAGCCCCCGGCAAAGTGGCTCGACACTTTGACGAAAGACACGCAGGGCGGCGGCGTCTTAACCCAATCTGACCGACAGATACAAATAGCTTTCAGCGCTGCATTAAAAAATATAAAAGATCCACAACAGGCGTGCATTTCGCATGCTTTCCACAAATATTTTCCCAGTGCGTGCTGCCGGCAGTGACGCCAACGCCAACGCAACCCAGAAAAAACCGAAAACTGAAAACCAAAAGCCGAAAAATGAAAACTGAATGCAAACAAATCAAGAGGAACGGCGGTGGAAAACTAGAAACGGATTTTGGGCAGGCAATAAAAAGAAATACACCGACGGCCATAAAAGTCAGACCGGCAATCCCCGGGAGCAACGGCGAGGTGCACCACGCAGTCGGTCAATCATGCTGCCCCATGCCAACCCCTTACCCAGCCACTCAGCTGCAGAGAAAAAAATATATACTGAGTTATGATCAATGTAATCTTATGGAAAAAAGACTGTTCATTAATATTCGCCTTATTGTCTATCCTAGCTTACAAAAGCAGGCCTGAAATTATATGATAGGTATTAATTTCAAATGGATTACTCTATGTTTAAAAGTATTAAGGGAAAGATCTTAATGTTATTATGATAAACAATTCAAGTTTACTTTTTTTTTAAGAAAATTATTTTTATTACTTTCAAACATGTTTTAATTCAAACGTTAAGAAAATTTTAAATTTAATTTAATCTTAATTAATGTGCAATGCTTATATACAAGTTTTTAAGTATAAGAATATATTCTTAGGTGTTTTTTTAAGCATCATCAAATCATTTGATCATTTGATTTGATGTAAAAGCTTGTAAAGAAAAACTAAAACCTCATTCTTGTAATATACAAATAGGTAAATAAAAAGTTTTCGAGCTGATTTTTTTTCAGTGCAAGCCCAGAGGCTCCTATGGGATGCGATCTTTTCGCTGAAAGCAACTCCATCTTCATCCGCATCCCAGTGGCCGATCTCTGGGCTTTTCAATCATTTCGTACGATTTTCAGAGTTGTAATTTACGAGTGTGTCTGCGGCCTTTTGGGGGCGTGCCTTCAGCGACAGATTATGCAATGAAACGATGCAAACGGTAGTTAATAAAACGAATCGAGTGTTTTGTGGCCAGGGGGAGGGATCCTAGATCGGGGACCCGGGATCGGGGATCGGGGATAAGGAACAGAGGGCGGCTTGTCGAGCAAAAGCGATTTGTTTGCGTGCACATAAAACACAATAAAAGCAGAGAAAATTGTTTTGTGGTCAGATGCTTTTGGGGAAAAGGGTCCAAGTAGTAGATCCCCAGATTCACAATACAATGCAAAGACAAAATGTATATCTGAATATTCAATAAAGTAAGGCGCCATTCTTTTATTGTGCTTATTAAACCTTAAAAGTTCTTTTAATTATAATGTTTATTACGTTATTTAAATATGTCAATTTATAGTTAACACATTGCTCTGTTGCAATGCTAATTTAACAGGCAGCTGTTTGCCCGAAAAAGTCTATAAAAACGTAAACATGTCATATATATATAGTAGTATATAAGACATCAAACATAATTTTACTTCATCTTATTTTGGTTGCCATGTCACAGTTAAATACAATATGCCCCAATTTGAACTTAATAGTTTTTGGTTTATGTTTTTGTTTAGTTTTTTGTTATTTACATCTTGTTTTCCGTTTGGTTGTAGATAGATGGCTGTTGCCACACATTCGTCTCACATTTTCCCCATTTTCCAGACGGCGATCTGCTCCGTTTCGGTGTGCTAATATTTAATTTAAATATTGTATTATGCCGCGGCCTTTGGCTGTTGTTCTTAACCAACCTCACTGCGTGTTGCAATCTTCAAGCGGATTTGTTTGCTTTTTTCCGACAAACATGTGGGGATGTGTTGGTGCTTAGGCTGCTCCCGCTACGATATACTGGCGATTTGATCGCCGTTTCAAGGTTGCATTGCATGGAGCTGTTTAAGTATTTCTTTCTGTTTCAAGTATATCTTTTAGTTTCGTTCATGGAAAAATTACGTATACGCATTGCGTATACGCAGAAGCTGAGGAAAGGGTCGATGGGGTTTTCCTAGAATTTTATAAGTATTCTGACAAATTTATTTTATTCTATTCTGCTACTTAATTAAATTCTCATTAATGATAATGAATATGATTATTGCTTTTCCATTTTATTTCAATATTTTATATATAACCCCTTTAAGTACGCCCCTGACTCGATCGATCTTAATCGGATGCAGCCTGTTGATTTTTCTAGATATTTGTTTGTGGCAGTACTTAGAGATAGCTTATGTCAGAGGCGCTGATAGCAATCTGAAGAGGCTTTTCATGCTCAATTTGAAGTGGATTTTAATTCGATTTGGCAAGCACTGACAATATTCGTTAGATTCGCTTGGAATTTATTACAAAATATAAACAAATTTAACAAGTGTTTTGTATTGAACCAAACAAGTTCAGTTCAAATTTTGCAACGGCCAAACATGAAAAGCTTTATGGCTTTTTCAAAAATAGTTTTGAAAACTTTTGGCAAGTGTTGCCAGCCAAAACGTTTTTCCGATTTATATATACAAATCCACCACAGAGGAAAACGAAGAATGCGATGAAAACAAAACGACAAGGTGGAATGAAAAGAGCTCGCGTAAATGCGAAAAAATAAATCGAAAAACGCACAAGTAAACATTAATTTTTAAGGAAAACTTCCTCAGGTATGTTCCCATTAAAGTTGTTTTAATTACTGATGAGAAATTAAGTTGGCATGTGCAGATACCAACAATGGCGCTGCTGCTGGTGCACCTGCGACGCCTCATTCTCCTGCTGACCGTCGTCTACCTGAGCGGAGCGGTATTCCGCCGCCTTCTCACCGAGCGGCGCCACGCCCACGTCCTGCAGGCGAATGGGTACATGGGATTCGGACGTCTCCGAGGAGGCGGAGGATCCAAAGAGCCATACCACTTTCAGTGGTGGGCCTACATCTATACCTGCTATGCCTACGCCGTGCTAATCAACTACGTTAGCACGCGTCGCATTACCAACCTGATTGAGTTCTTTTTGCAGTGAATTTAGAGGTTTTTGTTAAATAATTTAGTGAAAACTAAAACGATTATTTTCCCTAATCAAAATATAATTTAATTAGTACTTTTTAGGCTTATATTTTCCTGATGTTTCTTTTCAAGCCCACCTGTATCTTTGTGATTATATATTTATATTTTAAAAGTAACCAAAACAATTTCTTATTTATTACAAGCATGTTATTTAATAGCAGATCAGATTTAATTGAACGTTGTTCTTATATGTTGGGTATATTGTATTTGTTGAAAAGTAAAAAGTAGATGAATGCGCTTCGGACCCTATAAATTATATATGGTTTTGATCAGGATCAATGTACGTCTGTCTGTTCAAATAAGTTGTTTTCGGTAATCTTAAAATTATTATTTTGGTAATCAAATGGGTCTTGGAGAAAACGTCACTTTACCCGTGAAGTTGATAAAATACTAGTTATTATTATCGCAGAAATAAAATTATAAATTTAATCCTTTGCCAGCAAACATACAGACAAATATAACATTCAAGTATTGACTTTATTTTAGCTGTACTATGGAAATGCATACTTTTGGGCAGTTTTTTAAAATTTTCAAAATTACATTGCGTGCAATTAGGCGGTTTTAATACCACAATCCAGGCAGTGAACAGCAGATATCTGTTAATACACTGTTAACAATTGAGTTATTTTTGTTTGAATATTGTTAAAATATTTGTATTTTTAAAATATTTATTTCTGATGTATTAACATAAATATAAATAAGTAAGTAATTGATTTATGTATAATGTTTATGTACTTTAGTTTACTATTGAAAACAACATAAAGAAAACAAAAAGAAATCAGTTACTTGTAAACAAGTAAATTTAATTCCGAAAACGCGTACTTCTAGCTACATATATAAAATATATACATATACAAAAATTAATGAAACACACAGAATTGCAAATGTCCGATGACACTGCTGCTAAAAATATTTACATTAAACACAACAAATATTTAGCGCACAACTTACAGAAACAAATAAATTGAATTTGTAACGTCAAATGTAATTTTTTTCTCTGGCGGAATTAATTAAATCTCGATTGCATTTAACATCACGGTCTGCAAATATTTTTGATGATTAATCGCTTAGCCAAAAGCAAAAACATCATGAACTAAGATTAAATACCCTATAACGAACTGCGATTTTATTTATTTTAAATGCTCTTGAAATTTAAAAAAAATATTTATGGTAATTTAAAAATATACTGGTCATAAAACCACAATTTTTTAATGCTGACAAGTTGCATATGACTTTAGAGTAACCCTGCCATGGAATAAATCTGTCAACAGCCAATTTCATTGGTAAGATCAACATGCAAGGGAAAGAGTAAACGTGCAGATAGAAAATATAGCTAAAAGTATTAGTAGTAGAAGTTTAATTTTGGCTTTCTATTTATAAATGCGGAATCTATTCATAAACAGATTACGTTCATTCTGAAATTCTTTCTGTTACTCATGGAGAAATGAGTTTTCATTTATTTTAATATAAAACACTAACAATTCGTTGGACCTTTTATAGCTAAAATTTGAGATCAAATCTTGAGCTAGATCGGCTCGCAATATTAAAGAATATTTCACGCTTTCTTGCACCCACCAACCCATATATCTTGTACAGAATATATCTTAGCATGTTTGCCGTATTTTTCATCCGAGTGAGTCAGATATTGTGCGCCACGTCACAGCCCGATGTCGATGCTATATGGCTATATGGCTATATGGCCAACGGATAGTGGGTGCTTTCGGGACATGCAAAATCCGAGATTTGTCAACGGCACATTTCCACGGGCCATACAATGGCTATTGACATTATGAGAGCAGCGCCTGTGAATCATCAGCCAGATGATTCGAAGTTGTCAACGCCAAATGGCAAAGAGGAAAATGGAAAATTCGCGCAAAACCCAAGAAAACCGGGAAGCAATGTTGTAGATTTCCAGGGAAATACAACGCATTAGACCCTTTGTTGTTTGTTTTGAATGCATTAGGGGTCTATTTTTACCGGCCGGTGGCTGGGAATTTTCTTTTTCTGCACCACCCACCTAGTTGGAGCCTCGACTGGCGCCCACTTGAGCTTATCTGGCAGCCACTCCACTCCACTCCACTTTACTGCCCTCCACTTTACCCTGCTCCTGGGCCAAGAGGAGTGTCTTGCAGAAAGTGGCTGCTCGTCAAGTAGGCACACACTCTATAAAGCTGAAGTCGATCTATATTTAACTGCATAGCAGCGGGCTGCAGGCTGTGTGCGTGTGTATCTGTGATCATAACAATTTTGACCCAATTTTCTATGCTGGCACACACGAAACATGAAAGAAATAGAAGACACCCAGTGTTCGCTGAGTGATTTCTGTCTTGAGGTGGAGGTAGGCAAATGGGAATGGGAATGGGACTGGGGATCCTGTCCCCATCACTGACCTCAGTGCAGCTGTAAAATGATGGGCAATGGGCCGGAAAACTCACACAGACACCTGGCGAAAAAGCATCATGAGCAGAGATTTGCCCATTCCGAACCCAAATCGTGATGAGAATGGGATTTTTTGACTAAAGGTGTCGTTGTCTGGCTTCATTCTATTTTTGTCTGACTTATTTATCGGCGAACGGCTTGCTACATATTCGCCAGGTTATTTTTAAATTATTACACATTCCAAAATGTGGCAAACACACAAAATGTTAAATATTATTCTACGGCTGCCTGGCGCGCACTTATATATATGCACAGGGTAGCGGCAACATTGTATATATGGATGCATAAAATAAATAAAGTTATGGCCAGCCAGAGCTAAGTATCTACAAGATACCAATGCGAACGGAGCAAAAAACTGCTCTTATATATAAGGATGGTTAGCCCATCTAGATTTGCAGATGTGTGTGTTAGCCTCAGGTGAAATGTGTGTGGAAAACGAACACGATTATGAGCAAGCCGAAAAAAAGGCAGAAATAACATGAATTTCGGTTGCTAAAAATAAGCGAAAAATCATTTTTAAGTATAGTGGGGCGTGTGTGTTCGTGTGTGGAGCACAGGTGGAGGAGATCGCTTGAGAAACGAACCAAATATTCACTCGAAAAGCTTCGGCTCCTTTGGAAAACTGAGCCAAAAGTCGCACCATCAAGTCCACTCAAAATGTAACAAATGTATTCACAAACTGTATGTGTTATTTACTATGTGCACATGGAGGGACTAGTCAGCTGCCAAAATACACATATATACTGAGACAGGCATCTACGTGACCATTGAATAACAATTGTTAGATGACAACGCATTGTCTGAGGCTGAGCAGACTGTTGTCCGCATGGCCAAGGATTCACTCAAAATTGTATATTTTTGTTTATTTCGCACACTTTTTTCGCTCTCTACGCTTATTTATTTATGCTGGCAAATAACACATTTCGATGCCAAAAGTCAAGTATTATTAGAACACATTGCTGTAATCCTAATTGGCTGTTAGCAAATAATTTTAAAAGAATATCATAGAAAATTTTGACACTTTTATGAGTTTTCTGCTGATTTAAAAATGTTGTAACACCTTCAAGATCTGTATGTCGTATGCCTGTAAGGCCTATAATTGGGCAAGAATTTTGTATTTGCCTAGATTCTCAAGCTAATGACATAAATATAAAATCAATCAGAGTACCAGTGGATACCATGAGGTCTATGAAACAAACTAAACTAATGTTGCTGTATAGATTTCGGTTTAAAACAGTAAATTCTCACAAGATGGCGAATTATGTAGCTTACATTTTTGAAACCTTAGTAAGATTTAACCAAGGCACCTTTCGAAAAAAATGTTCTACAAATCTAGTCCCGTCATTCTTTCATTATCTTACCAAAAACCCCAATAATTGTAAAACAAGCTTCAGCAGCCTTATTATCAAAAAGCTACGTGGTGGAATATTGTTTTGCCGGGTGAGCAAAAAATAAAATTTAGCCACGGCCTCTGAACCAACAAAATAAGCCAATAAATATAAATTATGAACTTTATGATTTAAAGAATAAGCCAAATATTTCAACATGACTTATGTGTACGGTCGAGAATTGGGAAAATTTATGTGTAGATACATTCTGGCCAGACGCTAGATACACAAAATGAAACGCACAAATGACACAAGCTAATTACAGGTAAGCAAAAGAAAAGAAAAGCACGCGTACTTCGTGTTTTTGAGTTTATTTTCGTAGGGGGCAAGCTCTCCGCCAAACTAGCGTGAAAATGTGTTCACACAAGCGGCGGCCAAAATGTAAAAATCAAAGAATTTTCCACACAACTGAGCAATTAACACAACAACACGGGGCGCGTGAAAAGTCACTCGAAAGTCCCACTCACAGGGAGATCAGGGAGATAGATATACACATACATATATTTGCATATATCTTTGGGAAGATATAACCCACTCAGATCGGAGAGCAGCCGATGGGCAACGAATTCAGCCGAAGGGAGCCGAAGAAATCGTTGAAATAGACGAATTCACCAGCGACCAGCGGCCAAATCAACGAAATACTCTTTATTCGAACGACAACGGGATCTCTTGTTCAGTAGATCACCAGCCTTACTCCGACGTTTATTACGAATTTTCTCGGTGACTCGGTGACAACTACAAAACTGCGTGCGGTGCTGTAGAGATTTTCGCTTGAGAGGATATACAAATCATAATTTTAGAAACGCGAATCGATCGCAAATTAATTAAGACAAGCAGAATCGAAAATCTGACCTAGCAACATGTCGTCATCGCAGGCTGTCCGCTCCTCGAAATACTCCTACCGGGCCACGTCCACCGGACCCGGTGGCGCCGATGTGAACATCGAATACATCCAGGACCTGAGCTCGCTCTCCCGCTTGGAGGTAAGGATCGGATCCTATCGGATCGGAACGGATCGGATTGGATCGGCTCGAATCGGATCGTATCGGACCGGATCGGTGTTAAGATCGGGAATCGAGCCTGCGGCCAATTTCTAACCTATCGAACCGTAGAAATTCCGAACGAAATGCGTGTGCGCCAAATTTCTTCAAAATCTACGAGAATTTTTCTCTCTCTTGTTTCGGTGTCTGTGTAGAGACTGAAAAAGAATTAGAAAATAATCAAGAAAAAAAAATAAGAAAAACAAAGTAAAAAACCCGAAAAATTCATCTACACCGTATATCAAATGCACATATATACCGTATATATATTTTTGTGTGTTAAGTTCTCGCCGCGTTCTTGTGTGTGGAAATATAGAAATTCGGTGAAGCAAATTCTAGATGTCTATATGTACCTATACGTGTCTG